CGTTGAAATGACACACTTACAACAGGCCAGGGTAAATAAAGATTGGACTATTTTCGTCGATGGATCTTCAAATGTTAAAGGAAGTGGCGCAGGAGTCATTGTGGAAAGCCCTCAAAGGCATAACAGTGGAACTTTCTATCTACTTTGGGCACAAAGCTTCAAACAACCAAGCTGAATATGAAGTAGTCCTCGCTGGACTCGCAATGGCAAAAGACTTGGGGGCAACAAGAATAATTCTCACAAGTGATTCGCAACTAGTAGTTGCGCAGGTACAAGGGAATTATCAGGCAAAAGAGGCCTTAATGGTAAAATATCTCGAAAAGATGCGACTATTGTTAGCAGATTTTAAAAGCTTCAAAATGGAGCACATCCCTGAAAACAAAATTCGCGAGCAGATATTTTATCCAAATTAGCCAGCACAAAGGGACCAGGAAACAATAGATCAGTCATCCAACAAAGCGTCCCCAATCCTAACGTCATAATGGCCGTAACTAAACAGAGCACTCGTCCATCTCAGAGTGTGCGACTAATGATCGATGATGATATGATGCCATCAGATGATGAAGAAACTTGGATGACACCAATTTGAAACTACTTGACTAAAGGAGTGATACCACCAGAATTGCGTGCGGCAAAGAAATTAGCACGCAAGGCTTCATTCTATACTGTCATCAATAACCATCTGTATAAAAAAAGATTTTCTTCCCAATTGCTTAAATGCCTAGATCCCCAACAAGATTGATATGTGATCTCTGAAGTTCATGAAGGGATTGGCGGACACCACATGGGAGGCAAATCCTTATCCAGAAAGCTGCTTCGAGCAGGATATTTTTGGTCCAGTATGGTAGAAGATTCTAAGCAACACGTGCGGCATTGTGTCAAATGTCAAGAGCACGCAGATTTGCACCATGCTCCCCCAGAGGAGTTGACTTCAATGATATCCCCTTGGCAATTCTACCAATGGGGCATGGATATATTAGGACCATTCCCGATTGCAGTCGGAGGAGTGAAATGGTTACTGGTGGCGATAAACTACTTCTCCAAATGGATCGAGGCAGAAGCTTTAGCCACAATAACAGCCAATAAAATTCGCCGATTCTTTTATCAAAAAATCATATGTAGATTTGGCGTCCCTCATACCATTATAACTGATAATGGTACGCAGTTTGTGGATAAAAAATTCAATCAAATACTTCAAAATTTGTACATCAAGCACAAATACACTTATGTTGAACATCCACAAACGAACGGGTTGGTAGAAGCTGCAAACAGAGTCCTGAAACGAGGATTGAAAAGAAGATTAGAAGCAGCTAAAAGAGATTGGCCTGAACAACTGGACTATGTGTTGTGAGGTTACAGAATTACCCCACATTCAACTACTGTGGAAACCCCATTCCACATGGTTTATGGTAGTGAAGCCATGATTTCGGTTGAAATTGGAGAACCATCATGGGGAAGGATGTACACAGATGAAGAATGTAATTTGCAGGCATTACTGCATAACTTAGATGCAATCAATGAAATGCACAAAATTGCCCATGTCAAGGAGGCGGCATTAAAGCAAAGAATCCCAGCGCGCTATAACTTAAAAGTTATTAAACGAAGATTCGACGTAGGAGACTCAGTCCTACGAAGAGCGGACATAGGAAATAAGAACGCGCGACAAGGTAAACTAGCCGCAAATTGGGAAGGTACGTATCTCATCCAGAGCAAAACTGAGAAAGGTGCATATGTCATTGAGACGTTGTTCGGACTTACCATCCCGCGCACATGGAACACGGATAAGCTTAAGATATTTTATAGTTAAGTCTTTTCTGTTTGTGGAATATTTGTCTTTCCAAATTATCAAATAAAGATTGCGGATCTCTACATTATTGATATTTACATTGCGCACATTCATACATGATTACTATATTCATCGCGCATAAAGAATAAGGGGATATAATCAAACATGATCACACTTCCTCAAACATAACGCGCGATACACCAGAGCGCAATGAAAACCATGAAAGAAAGATTATAAAATTGCCTCCAAGTAAAAGGATCTTATAAAAGGATCCTCCAAGTAAAAGGATCCTATAAAAGGACCCTTCAAGTAAAAAGATCCTATGAAAGCACCCTCCAAGCAAAAGGATCCTATAAAAGGATCCTCTAAAAGGACCCTCCAAATGAAAGGATCCTATGAAAGGACCCTCCAAGCAAAAGGATCCTATGAAAGGATCCTCCAAGTAAAAGGATCCTATGAAAGGACCCTCCAAGCAAAAGGAGCCTCCAAATAAAAGGATCCTCTAAAAGGACACTCCAAATGAAAGGATCCTATGAAAGGACCCTCCAAGCAAAAGGATCCTCCAAGTAAGAGGGTCCTATGAAAGGACCCTCCAAGTAAAAGGATCCTTTAAAATGATCCTCCAAGTAAAAGGATCTTCTAAAAGGACCCTCCAAATGAAAGGATCCTATAAAAGGATCCGCCAAATAAAAGGATACTCTAAAAGGACCCTCCAAATGAAAGGACCCTCCAAGCAAAAGGATCCTCCAAGTAAAAGGATCCTATAAAAGGATCTTCCAAGTAAAAGGATCCTATAAAAGGACCGTCCAAATAAAAGGATCCTCTAAAAAGACCCTCCAAAATAAAAGGATCCTCCAAATAAAAGGATCCTCGAAAAGGATCCTCCAAATGAAAGGATCCTCCAAATAAAAGGAAGATAATAAAACTTCCTCCAAATGAAAGGATCCTTCAAAAGGACCCTCCAAATTTCTTCCTCCAAATGAAAGGATCCTCCAAAAGAACCCTCCAAATGAAAGGAAGATAATAAAACTTCCTCCAAGCTACAGCGCGATGAAGAAAAAAGGAAGGTAAAGCTTTAACTGGTTAAAACTTCCTTCAACGCGCGATCAAGAACAAAAGAAGGTAAAATCTTAACTGGTTAAAACTTTATCCAAAGCGTGATACTTCTGGCAACATCAAGTACAAACTAAGCGACATCGAACCACAGAGCATGCAAAATAGAAAGGTACGCCAAATATATGAAATATGAATTATGAACTGTATAAAAATGCAGAATACAATTATGAAGATCTCAAGTACCCATACAAAGTACAGACCATAGTTCCAGATAAAGGAACAAGCCAAATGAATTTTCCAGGTTGATAAACAGATATGTCATATCGCAAATTTATACATCTCACTACTCATGCTCTTAGCATAAGCAGCGAGCTGAGGCTTCTGATCTGGATGTATATTATTATAATCCAAGGCCCATTCTGAAAGCCTTAATCCTTAAGCAAATATTGCAGTCAACAAAGGCTGCTACAATAAAACTCATCTCAGCAAAGCTCCTCAACATTAAATATTACAACAATACTACTTTGGCACCAAGACAAGCAAACTTCATCTTATCTCAGCCACCTACAGTAACCAATTAGAAGACTTGCCGCCTCACCACTTGCAAAGTTGGTCATCCCCCAAGCTACTCATCTCTTCACTATAAATACATATATATCAACACTAAGGTACACATCTTCTTCTACATAATGAAACCTACTTGAACCATAACTGACTTGAGCGTCGGAGTGTCTTGCAGGTACACCCCCCATCTTGTTCCATTGAAGACACATGGGTTAAAGCTACTCAACTGCAAGATGCTCTGACCCAAGGCGGTTCCAGGCCATTTGTGTAGAGGAAGATCACATGATCGGCTCAGTTGTAAAAACCTGTTCTGATCAGTATTTCTTTTAAGCTAAGATTTATTTCTTATGAAAAAATAAGCAAAATACTTTTTTTTTTCTTTTACTTAAAATTGTTTTTTAAATATTCATTCGAACGCAAAATAGCTCAAATTTTGACAAAAAAATCCTTCTAAACAAAACAATGTATACCCAATGGGTACAGCTCAGTTGGTTCCTTGGCGCTGAGTTAGTGGGGTTGGATATGTGTTCGATTCCCGCTGAATGCATTCTTGGGGAGGGGGCTGAATCTTTAGCCATCACTGACCCCCGCACTCCGGATTAGTCTCATAGCCGACTCAAAGAGTCGAAGCTTGTGGGGATACCGGAGGGAGCCAACTCGCCTCAAAGAGGTAATTAGGGTTGGGTAACTCCAAAAAAACAAAAACAAAACAATGTATAAAAATTCTTTTTTTTTTTTTTTTGTAAAAAAACTATCCAAATATAAAAATAACAAAACTCCTTGTACTTTTTTTTTGTTTATATAATGGTGAGAATTAAACACATAACCTAATACAAATTGACTAAATCCCTTACCACTAGGCCAGTCCTAATTGACTTAAAGTCATGCATACTTTGCTATGTGTTAACTATTTTTTTACAGCATGGGACTGTATTAGCAATACCAATCTTGATTTTCTTATGAAAAGTTGTAAATATATACATATGTTGCTGCTAATCATGTTCTTACTAATCCAATTAGGAATGACTGAAAATGAAATTTTATTGTATGATACTCAAAAAAGAAGTAATAATGATATCCAAAAGTATGTTCTGTAAGTGTTTAATTTCGTCTTTTTTTTTTTGATAGCCATAATTTCGTCTTTTTACTAGGCCTATTATTGATGTTACTTACTTTTTATAATAAAATTAAAGTGTATAGTAATAGTAGTAGGAGACATTACACCTGAGAATGCAAAAAATTCCAGTCTATCCCAACAAACCGCAATGTCCTTCTCAAGGACTAATGTGATTGATTTGTAGTTTTCAAGCACGAGGATGAGGATTTTGCTCTTTGGAAAACTAATATTATCTGCTGACAAATTATTAAATGATAATTTGTTAAAGAAAAAAATGGTTATTGTTTTCACAATAATTTTTTTTTTCCCCAAAAAAATTTGTTTTCCGATGGTTTGAAGAAAATTCCCGTGATCAGGGATGACTTCAAGTTGTTGGGTCAAGCCCAAGGCCCAATAGTCCAATATCTCCATTTTTAATTTATTTATTAACCTTCTTTTGCGTTGTGATTAAGATTCTATTGTTCACTGGCCTAGGTGAAGTTAGTTTGTGGATAACAATGTTGATAACGGTAAAGGAAGCTTACGCTTCTTCTCCCCTCTGTTTCTGGCTAAATCGTCTCAAGGCAAAACACTCTAAAGCACTCAAAACTTCAATTTGCCAAGCCAGTTTCTCTGTCCAGAGAAGACCTGTCATGACCACCCACTCATGGTATCCTGGGCATGTTTCTACCAGGTAAATGGTGCTAATAATACCCTTTTCCTTCTTCTGTAGCTCTTAATAAATAGTAGACAAGTTCCTCCACTGGGTTGGGTTCACTTTACTTGTTATTTTATTCTTGGTTGAGTGCTGAAGTTGACAAGTAAATGTTAATTTTCCTCTCCACATAATATATAGATATTTTCTGTTTCTTGTAAGAGCAAATAACAGTGCAATTGCAAAGGGAATTAGAAAACTCTCTCTATTTTTTATTGAGATCAATGGTCTCTGATTGTAATTATTTGCCCAAATTTTCTGTTTCCAACTGTGTGCAGCAGCAATGAGGTAGCAATTTTTGATCCCTTGGGTATTAACTCAGATTTAAATTCTGCTCTAAATTCTACCTGCAAAAATCTGGTGAGCTTGTTTTCACAAACATTTGAGAGTGCTTCAAGAACAGAAAAGGAAAAGCCTAACCCTTCTCGAGGAGTAGCAGGTTTTATTCTTCACTTTATCTTAGTGAACTTGAAATCATGCTTTTGTATCTCATAGCAAGTAATTATTATATTTTGGCATTGGCAGCTGCAATAGAGGATAGTTCAATTGATTTTGGTGACTTCTTTAAAGGTCCACTGCCAGGAAAGTTTCTCAAGCTTTTAGGGTTTCTCGCCTTGTCTCGGCTTGGTGTGTACATACCTCTAGGTGGAGTTAATAGAGAGGCTTTTGTTGGAAATTTGGATCAGAACAGTTTATTAAGCACTCTGGACTCATTTTCTGGAGGAGGTATTGGTAGACTTGGGATATGTTCCCTTGGGATCGTTCCCTTCATCAATGCACAGATTGTTTTCCAGCTTCTAGCACAAATATATCCCAAGTTGCAAGATCTTCAGAAAAGAGAAGGTGAGGCTGGAAGAAAGAAAGTTCTTCAGTACACTCGATATGCTTCAGTTGGATTTGCCATTGTACAGGTCAGGAATTCACACTGCAAAATTTTTGACGAACTTTTGTTCGGGTTTTTTTTTCATTTTTTAACAAAAAATAAATAAATGAAGGTAGAAGCACTTTTAGGAGAATTAAAATTTATTCATATAAATTTTTTTGAAGGAATTACGTGATCATCATCAAAAGGAGAATCAGAAGAAAATTTGTAAGAATGATTCATTTTGGTTGTCCTTACCTTATGCAAACAAGAAAGTTAGTGCACTGAAAAAAATGTACCTGTGTAAATAAGGAAAAAATAACACGTAATTACAGCTCAAGTCCACTTATATGTTGGAAGACATACCATGAAGATTCTTCCCTGAAGATCCGTGCTGTACAATAATTATTCCCTTTATGGCATATACTTATCATTAATTGAAAGGAAAAACCTGAATATTATTTCTTCTTCTTTTTTTGGTGTTTGAATATTATTTCCTCTTAATTGAACTGTACATTGTTGAGTCTATTATACCTAATTAAATAATTACTTGTGGAGAAGCACGTTCGAATCAAAAGGATTCACATTAAGCCGGAGCAAGACATATGAAGTGTGAGTTTTCTCTGGTAAGAGATGTAGACAAGATCCCGTGCATCTACTTAGTCAAGAGGTACCCAAGAAAGATGTGTTTAGATACTTGGGATCAATTCTGCAAAAGGGTGGAGAGATTGATGATGATGTAAATCATAGAATTAGAGTAGGGTGGATGAAATGGCGTAGTGCATTTGGATTTTTGTGTGACCGCAAAATTTTCCGTAAGCTAAAAGAAAATTCTATAGAACAACAGTAAGGCCTGCAATGTTATATGAAGCTGAATGTTGGCCAGCATATAGGCAACATGAGCATAAAATGAGAGTAGCAGAAATGAGGATGTTAAGGTGGATGCGTGGTGATACCAAGATGAATAAGATAAGAAATGAAGATATTCAACGAAACATAGTAGTAGTATCGGTGGCTGAAAATATGAGAGAACATAGATTAAGGTGGTTTGAGCATGTAATGAGAAGGCCCCTAGATGCTCCCCTAATAACAAAAGTTTATTACCAAGAGCTCAACACAAAGAAAGGTAGAGGTAGACCGAAACTTATTTGGAGGAAGGTAGTAAAACAATATTTAATGGAGTGAGATATAGATTGGCAGACGATGTGCCTTAGGACGGAATGGAGGAAAGCTATAAGTATGGTGGAGGGTTAGACCTGTTGTTATTCTTATATTGCAAATGGTCCATTTTTAGTTATTTTTCTCTTTATCTTCCCCCTCTTCTTCTTTTCTCCTTCTTATCTTTTATCTCTTTTCCCTTTCCCCATCTTTTTTTTTTTTTTTTTTCCTACACCCCTTTTATTTTTATTTTTACTTTTATATATATATATAGGAGAGAGATCATTTGACTCCAGAGTAAGACTTATAAGTCTTACTCCTCATCCTAACTGTTGATTTCCGTCCATCCAACGGTTATAGTTTAAGAAGTTATATTAATTAATTAATTATTAATTATACCAAAAATGACAACCGTTGATTTCCGTTCATCAACGACTGAGATGGAGAGTAAGACTTAAAAGTCTTACTCTGGAGTTAAAAGAACCTTCCCCATATATATATATGGGGTAAATATTTTTACAATCACTTTAGATAAGGTTATCTACAGCTATTCCAAAAATTACGTTGTTTTGATTAATGAAGGGTGTTTATGTAATTTTAGGAGAGTTAATGGAGGATGTTTCTATAATTTTGTTTATTTTTTATCAAATGCATTTTACTGAAACACCCTTCATTAATTCACCTAAAATTACAGAAACACCCTTCATTAATTAAAATGACATAGTGTTTGGGGTAGCTGTAGATAATCTTATCTAAAGTGGCTGTAAAAATGTTTTTTTCTTAATATATATATACAGAAAAATATTTATACAGAAAAATATTTTTGCAGTTACTGCAGATAAGTTATCTGCATTTATTCCCAAAACGACGTCGTTTTGAGATTGAAAGATTAAAAAAATATAATTATAAAGACTATAATAACCCTAAAATAAATTAAAATTATAAAAACACCGTGATTTTCGTCCCAAAAAGACGTCGTATTGGGCTTACTGCAGATAACTATTATCTTTAGTAAGCCAGTAACTGCAGAAAAAACGAACATATATATATATATATATATATATATATATATATATATATATATATATATATTTATTTTTATTTTATCTTTTTTAATTTTTATCTTTTTTCAATCACTTTGTATTTTTTATTTGAGTTTATCTACCATCGACCCCAAATAATTTGGGATAAAAGTGTTGTTGATGTTGATAAATGACAATAATATCCGGTGAATATTATGTGATATGGAATAGTAAGAACGTTTATGCTTTCACCTTTATAATTTTTTGTTTGTTCCTCATTTTTCATTTCAGGCAATTGGCCAAGTTCTTTACCTACGTCCCTATGTCCACGACTATACTGTAGAGTGGGTTCTTTCTTCTGTTATCTTATTGACTCTTGGCTCTGTGTTTACAACTTACATCGGTGAACGAATTACAGACCTAAAACTTGGGAATGGCACCTCTCTTTTGATATTCACGAACATTATCTCGTACTTGCCGGCTTCTTTTGGTAGGACATTTGCACAAGCATTTAACGATGCTAACTACATTGGACTTGTTACCATCATTGTGTCCTTCTTTCTGTTGGTAGTTGGTATTGTCTATGTTCAGGTAATCTCATTTCAAATTGTTTTACAAAGATGTATTTGAGGTAGCAAAGAGATTGATCTGAGCAATGGCTTTCAGGAAGCAGAGAGAAAAATTCCTCTTAACTATGCTTCTAGACTCACCAACAGAAGTAGAGGACTTGAAAAATCTGCTTACCTACCCTTTAAGGTCCTCTCTCCTCTTTTGCCAAATTCTTGTTTTATGTTACTGTAGTATCTTCCTTCTAATTATCTGATGCATGTAATTATTAGTGAAATTTAGTTCATTAAACCTCGAAATTTGATAATGTAGATCTTCTACCTTGGCAGGTAAATAGTTCTGGAGTAATGCCCATCATATTTTCTACATCATCATTGGCTCTTCCTGGTACTTTGGCACGATTCACTGGGTTAAGTGCGCTAAAGAAAGCTGCATTAGCTTTGAATCCAGGGGGTATATTGTTGATTTATCACTGGATTTGTATAAGACAATATTTTTGTGTGAAATGTCTGGTACTGACATTCTGTGTTGGTCTTGTGTATTTGACAAATATTCAACGCATGCATTTAGTGCATTATAATTGAGATTAAAAACTTTTGCTCAGAATTATTTCTGAAGAAATCTAGGCCTTGTTGTTGCAATACTTTATTGAAATGAAATCCGCTCATGCTTTATTGGCCTTAAAATTTGTTAATTGATCTTTTTTACTTAACTGGATATTGGTTGTAGGTTCCTTCTATCTTCCTTTTAACATACTTTTGATAGCCTTCTTCAACTACTATTACACTTTCCTACAACTGGACCCTGATGATATGAGTGAACAATTGAAACGCCAAGGTGCTTCAATTCCACTTGTCAGACCAGGCAGAAGCACAGCTACATTTATCAAAACAGTAATTTCATCCTTTTCTAGTTTTGCATTCCGTGACTTCCTCTCTGATTATATCTTGTCTTTTTTCTTTTAAAATTATATTGTATAGAATTATACTCTAGTATGCCATCAACTTGCAAGTTTGTGCTGATAACTGATACGTTTTAAACTAAATTAATATAATTGATTGCATATATCATCTTAGTAGGTAGAAATTCCTTGCAACCTTTCCTTCGTGTGATTCTCATCTCTCCTACTTGTGAACGGAATTTAGTTGTAGGATTTCTTATGAAAACTCAATGAACATTCTATAATTGAACTAAAAATTAAGTGAAACATTGGACTTCCCTCCTATTTGTCTCACTATTAATCTCCATTTAGCTGTCATACAAACATTTCGTTTTTTTCCTTCCGTAACTGTGATCTTAAATGGTGATCACCTGTCCCTTTTCGTTTGTTATTCAGTCTGACCTGTTACAAACTAAATACTCTTCCCACAGAAATTTACACTCATTTGTGGTTGATGGCTTTAGTATAATACTATTAATCAAATGGTTCTATCATTGCTTGGCCAGTTGGTCCAGAGCACCAAATTACCAAATTTTATAGGTACTAAATAGATGTTCGCACATCAATCACAAAATTTTCTCTAAAAATTAATCAGAAACTCCAGGTGTTTGTCATATTAGTTCCCGCATACTACTTCTCATGTTTCTTTTGTGTTGAATGACACTATTGGATTTATTTTACATCCCTTAATATATGGTGCAGGTACTTAGTCGAATATCAGTTCTGGGTTCAACATTTTTGGCTATCTTGGCTGCTGGTCCAGCTATTGTTGAGCAGACAACACACTTGACTGCATTCCGGGGATTTGCCGGAACATCTATTCTTATACTTGTTGGTTGTGCAACAGACACAGCTAGAAAAGTTCAAGCTGAGATTATATCCCAAAAGTACAAGAACATAGAATTCTATGACTTTGATAAGTATTGATCATGAAACGATTGCTGGTTTTAAAAACTTGATGTGCAGCTATATAATTCTCCTAAAAGGGATGTTCTCGAATGAGTCGAAAAGTCTCAGTTATCTGTATTAGCATTACGCGTCCATTTTATATCGGCCTGTAAATAATGCTGTTGAGCAGCGATTTATTTTATTTGTTGTTCAAAAGACGAATTGGAAAATCCATCCAGTTTTTCGTGTGGTAACTGGTTTATCAATCAAAGGAAATGTATACAAAGGGGGGCAACTTATTGCAGCCCAGTTTTTACAGTGATTTTTATTTTATTTTATTCCATCATTAAATAAATATTCTTATCAAAACTTTATTCATAGCAATTAATTAACGTCATTCTTAACGAGCCCGTCGCTGCCGAAAAGGCTATTCTGTTACCAGTCGTCGGCTATAACAGATTCTTCTTCGGGTATGTAGTTCCAACTTTTTGATTGGTCTCAAGTGGAGTCAACAGTTGTCTTCCGTTTCGTTTAGTTTCAGCTAGACTAACTGTTAATTAGTATAAACTCAAATTATAAGAGCATACAAGATCATAAGACAAGGTCGTAAGATAATATCTAAAGCACGACCGTATGGCCCGGTTAATTACGCATTATGGAAATACGAGAGTTCACTGATTAGTATGAATTTTGTCTAAAGGCAATTCATAACATTCATCTTTGTCACATAAAGATCGAGAAATTAGACTCGAGAACATACATAACTTGTCAATTACAATAGACAAAGAAACGCAACGGAAAATAGCAAAATTCAAGAAACAACGTTGTTCACAATCTGGCAGTACCAACTTAAATCAGAACCGGGAACAATCTATGCCAATAAAATTCTCATAATTTAATATGATAAACTTAACATTTAGAGCTTTCCAAAGACACCTCATTCGTGGTTTTAGGATAAGAAGGTAGTGAGATATGAATTCTCAAAGTTGATTGACCAGACAATAAAAAAAGCAGAAATATTTATTTGATCAGCTAAAGTGCTTTGGTTGCTTGACTCAATCAAAAAACAGAGTTCGATTATAACTCCTATAACTAAATCAAGGCATAAGAGAACTCCACCAATACTTCTATCGTCCAAATGAGGAAGGAAAGATTTACATCAAAACTTATAAGATAGCCACACATGAAGTATTATATAAGTCTTGAGTTAATTAGTCACTTCCAAAGTAGATAAATCTTTAACTCCAAGGCCATGATAATTAAACCACTTTTCTCAATGAAATTCCTAAGTTGTTCTCAAATGAAAAGCAAGGTACCAAGTTTAAATTTACAACTCAATGAGTTTCTAAGATCTTATGACTGCCCAAGAGTAACGCTGCTGATATTCAGCTATATTAGAGTCAATATAATCAGCCAAGTTGTCTGCCACTTTCTCATGCACTTCTTTAGGAAGCTATGTTCAGCCTAGCTGTCATATTTTGCCTTTATTATTGTGTTAGTTGTTAGTTGGCAGGTTAGTTGTTAGTAGCATTAACTCTGTAAGTTGGCAAATTAGTTGTTATAGTATTTAATGCTCATCTTGTATAAATATTTTCGTGTAGAACTGAATATGAGCAATGAAAATAGTCTTTTGTGTGTGCTATCTCTCTCTTTTTCCTAAGTTCTTATTCTAAGATTTCTTCATGGTATAAGAGCTCTCCTCTTGAGGGCCTGACCACCATCTCTAACCCAATGTCCACACTATATTTTGACTCCATGAGATCCCTTCAAACCATTGTTGATGGTGAAACTCCAAACCCCAAGAATGAAACACTAAACCCAATGTAACACCTCGTCCGTAGCCGATTAATTAATATGCATATGGTACAATAGTGCGTCATAAAACTATGATTTAAGCAGAAGACGTAAATTAAGTATTACCTTTAGTTACTGCAAAAAGGCGGATAAACTTTTCTTTTTATCCTAATACTGTTTTCTTACGTTATTTTCTTACTATATTGCCTTTGTTTTCTCCAATTATTGTAATATGTACAGTCTCATTCCTGTACAGACTTCTTGATTAATCTACCTATATCTATTCTATCTATATCTGTACTTAGCAAATATAATCTATCCAAATATGATCATAAGGACCATTTTGAACAGAAACCTACGAACAACATAACGGCTGTAATCTGGACAAATCCAAATTCCTATAATGCAGAAAAATCCAGAAAAATTATATATCTATAATATCAGACTTAAAATTCATCAATGAATTCTCACATAATCTGGCTTAGTGCTAGTCTTATCAAAATCAACCTGTTACAACATATAAATACAGATATCTGAAATACCTCATATACTGAGCTATGGCTCTGTGCCAATACACACATACATGTTGAAATTCATAAACAAGATATATTAATATACAAAACAAAGGCAATACGTGCCTCTCAAAATAGATGATAGCCTATGATGCACGGACACGGGACACGACATGGCACGCCAACACATTAATTTTAAAAAATGTCATATTTCGACACGTTGGGACACGTTTTGATATTAAATAAATTTTTTAATATATATAATATAATTTATATTTAATACATATAAGAGTCCATAATAAGTCATATAACCAATCAAATATTTAAATTTCATAACATAAATATAAATAATTTTTCGTACTTTGTTAATTTTTCATGTCAAATTTCATTACAGAAAAAAATTAATTTATAAATTATTTCTTTTATATTTAGTTAACAAAATAAAATTAAGATTTAAAAAAAAACGTGTCCGAGCGTTGACCGCGTGTCGGACAAAGTTGACGGCGTGTCGAAAAACGTGTCGAAACGTGTAGGAGAGTTGACTGCGTGTTCGAGCGTGTCGGAGCGTGTCCGACACGCAAATTTTCCAAAAAGGAGCGTGTCCGTGCTATATAGATGATAGCTATCAACATGCATTATCACTACTCATGCCTCAAACTAATATATACAACATCCATATATAAATAAACATCCACTCCAGCTCCATCACTAGCCACTCTGCACAGGTCCTTGCCCTGAGATTACTGATCAACAACTGCTGGAGTACCTGAAATCTGGAGTACCTGAAATTTATTTCCCCAAACGGGATGAGATTTCAACTATTTTAGTAAACTCAGGGTTTGTGGAGAAATCTCCACCCATGAGTTCACTTCCTGCATAAAAGGTTAGGTACATAGTATAGCATACATCATACAAGCATAACTAAAATCAGACCACCTATCTGTACAGATATATCTGAGGACCTATATCACTCCAAAGCAATCAGAGCCAACCGTTAATAGGAGTACTCATGGCTATATCTGATATGTTCATTGGCCAAGAACTACTATATATATATATATATATATATATATATATGATGGTGTTTATGATGTTGGATACCTAGTGTAGTTTGCATTCATATAGGTGATATATATTCATCTCAAATCACATAATATCATATTATCACCTATATGAATGCAAACTACACTAGGTATCCAACATCATAAACACCAACATACAGATATACCACCATGATCATATTAAATCTTGGTAGAACAAACAAAGAGAAAGAATCCTCCTAAACCAAGAGCTTACCTCTTGTAGCTTCTATAGCAAGCTTACTTGTAACACAAGTAACTTGGTCATATAACACCTCGTAGATTTAAAAAAATATAATTATAGTTAAAATAAGGATTAAAAGGTAGGATTAGTGAAAATCCTAAGTTCTGGGTCAAAATACGTAAAAAGGATAAAACGATAATTTGACAAACACATAACCCTAAACATTGAAATGTTACTAGGAGGTCTCAAATGGAAAAAATAACCCTGGAAATGGATTCAGAACGAAAAATTGAGTGATTAGACAAGTTTCTGGAAATTTGATCAATAGTATTTTTACCGGGTAAAAAAACAGCGGTACATTTACACCGAAAAATATGCCGAGTGAAATTTGAGATCTAGGTTTGAAAATAAGGGGGCGTTTGGTACAGGAGAAATTTTTATTTGTCCGGGAATCTTAATTTTCAAAAATATGATTTTTACATTCAGTTTACCATAATATCCGGAAATTTAAAATTTAGAAAAATTCAGTTTCCCGGGAATCCGGCCAAATGCCGTGTACCAAAGTTGAAAAAGGTACATAGGACTCAGAATTATGATTATTGTTGAAAATTGATGGAATTTAGGATTTTTGGGAAAATGTGCCAACAGTGCACATATCAACTTAAAACTGTGATTTCACCGAATGACTGAAAAACTCCAGATTCATCTGTTCAAGGGCAATTAAAGGACTTAGGTGAATGTTAAATTTTTGGATATATAGTTAGTTCATGAATTAATTGGAGATTAGGGTGTTAAATGACGAGTTTAAGTGACTTTTTGTCATTTAGTACACCTTGGCAATCTTTGTGCTTGATTCCTATTGATTGGTATCTTAAGTGCATAGTCTTTGGACAATTTTGAGTCAACTTCTTCCTCTCCAATCAGCCAAAACCGTGGGTGCCTTCCTCCTCCATGGTTGTAGGGTTTGTTTTTCTCCAAAGCTTTCCTCCTTGGTTTGAGTGAGTTAGAGTTGGTTTTAGAAAAAATCTCCAACACGAAAGTTGTTCCCCTTGATCTTGTGAACACTTCTCCTCTTGAGTGTTTTTCTTGAAAAGTATTGTGGAGTGAGTTATCTCCCTTAGAAGGCCACGAGTTTCGTGGATTTTGGAGGTATAAAAGTTGTTGGAAAGCTTGATTTCTTGCTTAGGATTCCTCTTGGGTTCTTTGTGAACACATTTGTGGTAAGTATTCCCAATTCCATTGAGTTTTGTTGATGATTTGAAAATGGGTATAAAATTTGAATATGTGTTGGTGAGTTTGGGTAGTTGGAGACCTCAAAATGACTTTGTGCATTAGATAAATGTTGCTTAGAATGATGAATTAGAGTGATTGAGCTCACAAAAATTATTGTAAAAAACTTTAGTAACTTAGTGAATTTTTGGATGGATGAGCATGATTTTGTGAAATTGAGTTGTGGATTAGTGGTAGTAATTAATTATATGATGTGTGATGCATTGGATGTGTGAAAATGAGTTGAAAATCCTTTGGTTTATGTCTATGTGCAATTCGGCCACTTATGGAATTATTGTGCAAGATGAGGCAAAAATTGTGTAATTGAATTTGTGTTGATTTGAATCAAGTTTAAATGGATTGTAGGAGTGTATGATGCTTGGAATTTGTGAGAAAAATCCCTTGGTAATTAGGTATCATGGATTCGGCCATATAGGGGATTTAGGGTGAAAATTGTGCAATTGAATAATTGAGTTGAGTAATCGAGTTAGTGGA